GTGTGTTGATATTGGACGAGGATGTGGCGGTATGCTAAGACACTGACCAGGGTGAGGCCCTCACAATGAAATACCATAAGGTCGCCTTAGAAAGTATGGCTACTCCATAAGAAATGCACTGTTGGGGTGAAAATTAATCGATAAAGGTAGTGGTAATCCAAACATTAATAACCACACCTGGGGGCGTGGCCAATTTTGGGGCGGAGCTTATATAAGTTTAAGTTCTGAGCCTAACTATTAACCAGCTCTCCGCAAAACTATCACACAACTTTCTCCGTCTAGCTTCCATCTCTATTTATGCCTATATGAATATTCTTATGATGCATTCAAGTCATTTTATCGACTACCTCTAATGATGATTTCTCTTTAATAATATCCAGTAATTCGGTAGGGGGTTGTAAAAGTCAAGTCAAAGCTTTCGTGAATGTTTTAGATTTGTTGATTTTTTCAGATGTGTGGATGCTTGTGTCGATGACGTTCATCTTCTGCAGTCTTCTTGAACTGGCCATAGTGGGCTATAAAGTTCGAGATGAAAGCAAAGCTCCCAGCAAAGCAACATCGAAAAAGTCAAAAGTAGGTTTTCAAAGAGTGGTTCCAAGTTTTCTGATTTCAGATCAGCCTACAATTACCTTTACTTTTTGCGTTATCTCGTTTACCAATACATTCATCACAACTGATAGATATTGATCGCGTATGTCGAAATTGGCGTGACCGATCTTGGTCGTTTGGAGTACAAGCATATACCTACTGAGAGTTTCGACTTATTGGTTGCACTTCTACAGTGTCGAAAAATCTCCCTCCTGGTCACCCAGTTTGAGTTGTCCAAATTCAAACAGAAGACCGGAACATATCTGACCACATTCGGCAGTTTTGTAGGCCAGGCTATCATTAAAAGTGTCTCGGATTGCGGGTGAAAGTAGGTGCATGGCTCATCCTAGAGGAATCAATCAATACTGCTCGTTTGCCTTTTACTCGACTCTATTTGAATGAGATGGGGTATTGCTATGCAGATTGCCTCCCGCGTGCATTTTACAAACGTTCAGGGTCAAACCTCAAAAAGGAGGAGGAGAGAGAAGGGGACTCTCATTTTATCAAGAGTCACCCTCTCCAATACCTTCGGTTAGTGGGAGATAAGGTGTTCCGGAGGGGCTCCTTCCCTCCAAAAAACCTCATTTTCATGCCTCTTTGCACCACCCAACACAAACAAAACCGTACAACATGAAAAAATCCTAACGCTGGCTGTTCGTAATGTCAAAGGAATCCGTGAGTAAAATACACACATTTAAGCTTTCCCGCATGTCAAGTGTACACGACAGGAGGCCCGTCGCGCGGCGAGAAGGCAGAGACGCAGACGGTCAGCGGACGAGTCGCAGCGCGTGCTGTGTGATGTGGGACGTACTAGTACATTCTATTAACTTGACGCGAAATCACTGCAGTACGCGCTGCAACTCGTCCGCTGACCGTCTGCGTCTCTGCCTTCTCGCCGCGCGACAGTCCTCCTGTCATGTACCCGATCGCCTCACCTAAAACTTCACTTAACTGCTTACACTCCCCCTGACTCACGGAATCCTCGGTCACCGCCCGCCGCCGCAGCGACTGCCCCCCCCCAGTTACGTTAGCACTCTTTTATTCACATAAAACGTAGTCTTTT